TCATTACTGAATCTCAGTATGTTGATAATTTGTATATGAATCGCATTTATCTGAGTCACTCTCGAATTTAGTTACTGTAAGGAATATAGAACTTAAGGAACTATGATTTTTAGAAATGTAGGACACTGTATTTCCTTTATCACAGGTTACAAAGGCAATCAAAGAGGACATTGTCCCCCGCCTACAGATTGCCATTCACTGTTCCTGACAGTGTCTCTCATGGAAATCAAATCTAGACCATCTGCTAGATTAAAAAATAAGTCGATAAAAATGAAAGTTTGTGAATACAAAGAACTTGAAAAGAAATAAAAACGTCCAGCGAATATAATTTATCTTATTTACAAATTTCTGTTTAACATGGAAACCAAGCAAGCAAACAGAAGATGTTGATGTACGTCAGACATGAGTAGAGAAATCAGGGACAGTTTGGAACCGCCCCCTTTCTAACCCTTTCTTGTGCTCTTGTTGGAAATGTTACTTTTCAGACAGCAACACTTTCGGGAAAATGGAAGAGTTTTTCTTTTTTGTTTGGCGTGTTTATGTGTGTTTGTTTTTTGTTTGTTTGTTTTGCCCATTTGTTTGTCTGTTTTGGCTCTCCAGGCACTTTATTTAAACTGACCAGTGGCTTTGTTGATCTTGGTAAATTATCCTTTTTAAAAAATTTAAGTAATTCACAATCCAGCCATGAAACCTACGGAGGATTGCTTCTGCTGTCTGTTTTAACAGAAATGAGGCAGTCACTTTGTTCTTGAAGAGAGAAAAAGTTCAGGTTTCTTCTCTGTTCTAGAGCTCTAAACTCTTCTAAGGATTTTTATAATGTTGCTGTTTTTTTTTTTTAATATAATTTATCGTCAAATTGGTTTCCATACAACACCCAGTGCTCGTCCCAAGTGCCCTCCTCCATGCATAATATTACTGTTTTAAGAACGAAGCAGTAATTCCCGTCTCCTTCCCCTAGTGCAGGCAAAGACTGTGATGGTCCCTTTTCCTTATGGAGGATGGGCTGATTCAGATGGCCGAGTGTGGCTCTATGTTCTGGGTCAACAGCTGTTGGTTCCCAAATGGCTTCCTGCATCACCTGGCCCCCATTCCCAACTCCTCGGCTGTTTCACTGTCGTATACTTTTTAATATTAGATACTTCTAGTTTAGTATTATTTTTGAGTAAGAGAAATAGCCTTTGCAAGAATATCGGTGTGATATAGCCCACTGACAGTCCATCAAATGAGAATACTTACCCTTGGCAGGTAAAGCAGATGGAAATGTATCTTTGCCCTAGTGGTCGCTTAAAAATGTCAAAGTTTTATGCAGGGTTTAACCAGATGAAATTGCTGATATTCAACCATTTTTAACTTACGAAATTGGCAATTTCATCTCATTTAGCCTAAGAGCTTATAGATAGCAAGGCTTAAACACCGGTGTTAAGATTCTCTAAAAAGGAGAAATGAAGGTCATTTCCATTCTATCAGAAGGAAGAGAGTTGGAGAGCTGTTTCTGATGTAAATATAATTATTTTAATGGAGGCAGTATTTTTCTTTTATACTTTGTCTCACAGCCTTGCCTTTCTACTTTAATTTGCTCTGTGCCCCAGCCCCACCAAAAGCACATGGACCCACTAGTGTGCATTTCTATCATGATTCATACTGGAATTTCTGCCCCAGTCCGTTCCTTCCTCTCTTCAGCTGTGTATAAGGATAGCCACCGTTATTCCCAGTTTTTATTGTGAGAGGAGTAAGCTGACAGGAACGGACTAATCTCATAAGACCAATCCCAGGATGGACTTCTGGGAGCCTGCCTCCCAACCCAGCCCCTTTCCTGTTACCCCCACTGCTGTTGCTCTCCCGCATGTTCCCATTCCCTTGTTGGGTACCAGTCTTCATGGGGTTCTGTTCACAGCTCTTGGAACTGTTGGCCACTGCCTAGCAGCTATACATCACTCTTCTGGTTTAATATTCTTAAGAAGGGGTTACTTTTTTTCTTCTGAATCCTAGATTCCCAAGGACTTGAAAGGGGTTTTTCTGTACATTGCAGGCACCCTCTACAGCACTGTTGTGAAACACTCAGAGTCAGCGCTGATTCCTTGTCTCAACTCAGCCACACCATGACTGTTTAAGTCTAGAACTAACTGTGTTTCCTGGTCTCTGAAGTTAAGTGGTTGAATATTATAGTCCTCTGATTATATGCCTGAAAGTTGTTAACAGGTGTCCTTTTCTTCTTAAAAATCTGAACGACAGCATTACACATACTTTATACGTGCCTGTTTCACAGGGTGGTTATTAACAGCACAAAATTTTATCCTCCCTCTCAGAATAGAGTATTGCTGTTGACAACGAGGACAGCTAAATGCTTGCTCCCCACCTGGTTCAGCTGCCTCAAGTCCTGTTAGTGCCCCATTTCTGATTGAGCACACAAACGTGACTATAAATTTCCCCTGACAGAAACCACATCGCCTCATCAGCCATATAAGAAAATGACAAAACAACCAACTGTGACAGCATGACTGCCAAGGTTTCAGCATCAGTGCTGGGGGGAAACACGCTTGTATAAGATAAAATCGGGGCTAGATAAAGCCCAAAAGACAAGCTCTGGTGTACCTGTCTTCTCGAAACTGCAACAGCTGGGAAGTGTGTTTTTGCCAGCGAGGCCAAGGTTCCAGAAAACCCTTTGCTCCCTGAGGCCACATCACCAGTCCAGGGATGGAGAGAGGGTCCAAGAGGATGTGGCATGCTGCTTTTCTTGTAACGAGCAGATCTCTAGCAAATCGTAACAGTAGCTAAGGTCCATCTGTCATTATTTCACTACATCTTCACAGAAACCTGGGGAAGTTTAGGATCGTTGTCCGCCGCCTTTCCGCAGGGAATATTTAGGCAGAGAGAAACACAGCCAGTCAGCTAGATAGTGGTCAAGCCAAGATTCAGACTGGGTGTGCCTTACCTCAGTACCCAAGGTCTTTCACTTTACCTTGAACTGATTTTAAAGCTCCGTGTCATCACCAAAATTGGAACGTGGTGAGAGTAGGAGGAGAAGAGGTGCTCCATGCCACCCACCCCAAGTTTTCTCTGCTTTGGTACAACGCTAGAGTGTGAAAGGAGTAAACATCTTCCCAACCTCAGTTAACTTTAAAAAAGGACATTAAGTCATCAAAGATACCTTGATGAGAGTTAACAAGGAGAATTGCTATTAATAAGAAAACAGAAGATACCTTAGATACCTAATAAAAGATGACAAAAGAGTTGAGCAGACACTTCCCCGCAATGACCAACCAGATGATCAGTGAGCATGTGAAAGTGACACTCAACGTCATTAGTCATTAGGAAAAGGTAAACTTGAGCCACAGTAGAGATCACTGCCCACCCAATGGGATTGCAAAGACAAACCAGAGATGGACCAGATATTGGCAAGGATCTGAAGCAACTGGATCTCTCAGTCCCTGCTCATGGGAGTGTCAGGTGGTTAAACCACTCCAGAAAACCATTCGGTAATTCCAACACAGCTGAACACTTTCATACCCTGTGACCCAGCATTTTTACTCCCAAGACTCTGACCAGCAGAAGTCCCTGCATATGTTCATCAGAAGGCCTTTGGGAAAATGTTCATAGCAGCACAATTCCTAATGGCCCCAAACTAGAAACTAACCAGTAGCCCAGTAACACAAGACTATTAAACAAATAAATGGTGGAATGTTCGCATAATGGAATACTGTGTAGCTACAAGAATGAGCAAACTATTGCTACACACAGCAAGGTGGATGGATCTCACAAACATGAGGTAGGGTGGTGAAGGCAGACACCAAGGAGTTCATAAAGCTCAAAAATAGGCAACACTGAGCCTCACTGTTGGAAGTCAGTCAGGCTAGCGTCAGTCTTTGTAGAGGGCGGGAGAGCAGGGCTGCAAGGGGGTGCTTGGCGGGGCCTACGGTGCTGAGCATGTTCTCTTTCTTGATCTGGGTAGTGGCTTCAGTGTGTTGAGATGTTGAAAATTTACCAAGTTCACTTATGTGCACTTTACGTATATTCTTCTACTTTAATACTGAGCTTTTCAAGCACTAAACATATAGGTGCCAGTTCTTAATTTTTGACTGCCACTGTGGTAATAAAAATTTAAATCAACTAAGAGATTTACATGTGTATAAAACAGGGATTTTGTGACACACTGTGACATATGTTTTGGAAGAAACGTTAATTTTTTTCTTGATAATCCTTCATCAGCCTCTCAGTTTGTCTGAACCTGACAAGGTGAGGAAGGCAGGAAATAGTGAATTTCACCAACACCAGCAATTATTGCTCCGCTTAGCATTCATTTGACCAGAGCAGCACTGGCTGGTCAGGTGCTCATCAGATTATGGAGTCCTTTCTTGCCTCACGGCCTATAATAAAACTTATCTTTTTATTACGATTTTAATACCTCCAAGAAGAGAAGCACAAAGAAAATAACCATGAAATCCCGACACCTGGCTAAAAACAAATCCTAAGCCTTTATTCTCTAAAGAACAAGGAAAAGATTCAAAGAGAGGTCCTCCCTTCACACGGGAATTCTTCATTTGTAACCATAGCTATAAAAAGGCAATATGGAATGTTTAAGGAACCTGAACAATGGTCTCAGAATGTTTTACAGAATGTTCCAGTACTGTGCAAGGTAAGCTTTCATTCCTAGCACAAAAATAATTGAATTCTAGCGTGAGGAGGGGACTAAAAGAACAAACTTGCGTTTTAACAAATAAAACTTGGGAAACACCCATCTGAGACAAAATATTGGGACTAACACCTGTCCTTTCTCTGAGTTCCCATCATCTCTCCTCCTCATTTGACCATTGTGGAGTCCTACCCTGTCCGTTCAAGGTCACGCAGTAGATTAGTGACAGAGTAGGGGAGGACCTACCATCTTTAAATTTCCAACCTCTTCCTCTTTTCACCCCATGATAGAGACTGCAGATAATAGATAAATAAAAGCCAAAGGTCGTAGGTATGATATTAATGCATCTCTTATAAAATATGTATTTCAGCTTGCTACCCTTGAGTTCCCTCCAAAGAAACTATTTGGAAACAAGGATGAACGAGTGATTGCTGAGAGGCGAAGTCACTTAGAGGTAACAGAATTAAGCTTTGCTTTCTCCGCATAGAAAATTTGCCATCTGATTGACCAGTGAGAATTGTTCCTGTTATACAAACACTATGGCTCTTGTTCACGGATGTGAAGGTGTTGTTTCATTAACAGCGGAGGTGGCTGCGGTGCATCGTAAAGTAACGACATCGGTTTACTTAAAATGTCCGTCCTTAACCCCCCTCTGGTGTCACAGAACGTTTTTCCGGCTTTGAAGGAGATCACATTTCTTCTAAGGGTTAGGAAGCAGGCTGTGGGTGAGAGCTAACGATTCGCAGAGACAGATGGTCTGTAATACAGATTGAGGTACAAAAGCTTACTGCAAGAAGCTTGAATTAATTAACTGAAGATAGATAGTATTGCATTATTGTTACTTTTTTGAGAGAGTTGGAAGCAAAAAGACACATACCTATTTTGGTCATGGTGAGGCTTTGTTTGACTTGTTTTAATTTATTCTTCTGAGCCAGCTACATATAGAACTTTGGCTCAGCACAGCTTGTTTTTCTGAGTGCCTCGCTGCCAATACACATTGTTGACTGCTTTATGTAGTTTGTATTCCTTTTCAAGATAGAGTTGCTTATTTGGTTGGAATCTAACGCTGAGGCTGAATCTAGGTGCTAAGGCACGGTCATAGGTATCCTGGGTTGTATCTCCTGCCGTTGTGCCGTTTTGCCTGGCTCGTGTCCCTTGCCGCTGAGGCGGGCAGGATAAAATTACAAATAGCTGACTACAGTCTCATGTCAGCAAGCTTTCATGGGGCCTCTCAAATTCCTCTGTGCTACTTATTTAAGAGGAATAATAATAAGACCTGTTGCAAATGAAATCAAGTAAGAGAAGGCCCAAGAGAGCCCCTCCTGAATCATGAAGTGCTACATCAAAATTAGGTTCTATTCTCATTCCTGGTGACAGCCAGTTTGAAATGACTGCCCATGGGATCCACTTAATGCTAGTGAACCAAGGATTAGGGAAACATCCAGAGGCTGGAGGGTCCAGTGAGAGCAAAAGAAGGGGAGAAATGGGAAACTAAAATTAAAGATTAGGAGATTGTGGTCCATCAGGGGCAGCTTAGAGTTTTGAGATCCTCATATAGAATCGCTCTGAGGAAAGAAGGATTTTCAGGGTGTAGCAATCCTTCCTGGCATTTGAGTTATACTGGAGGAATGATGCGTTTGAAGAGGTCCTGGGTCTATGAAGTCTGAGCTTTGAATGAATCATGGTAGGTTTCTAATCATCTATGAGTTGGCACCCTGATACCCAACTGAAGGACTTGCCTTCAAGGGAAAGGTCATGGTGGTGAGCCTGCTTGATCAAGTTCTCTTAAAGGTTTGCTTTGTATCATACAAAAAAAATGTACAAATAATGATAGAACTGGTGATGGTTTATTTATTTTTTTACCTAACCTTTACCCCCTTCAGTTATCTAGACTTGTTTTTAATGGAAAGGTGGAGCATGATAGTGTATAAAAACAAGTTTATAAACCAACAGGAAATGGACTATTATCTTTCCTAGCTTCTCGGGGCTCCTGTTGAATTCACACGGCACCCGGCTGTGCCACTACAGATTGGGCATCTTGTGTGTTGAGTATTTGTGAGCTCTGCCCTTGGTGACTCCTGTCTTTCCATTCCAGGTTTCAGGGTCAGAGCACAGCTCGGGGGCCTCTTTCATTCCTGGTATTTAGGTGGGCCCATCTTTGTTCTTTCTGTGCCTCCCACCCAATCACCTAGCCCTACTAAGCCATCAATTGTTAATGAACAGAATTCTGTATTGATGTCTCTACCTATACAAAGAGCCATTCCATTGCCTGTGACTGTTATTTACCTGTGGCTTTAGCCTTTAAAGAATGGATTCCATGCCTCGTAGAAATAGGCACATTTTAAATTAAATGCATTTTCCTCATGCTGACGGTTAAATCTTAGAGTATTATGTCCTTTTCAAGGAGCAAGGATAATTCAGTTTCACTTTAGTGGAAAATTAATCTGAGATTCTTGAGTTAATTTCCCACGACTATTGTATCTTTTTTTTTTTAATCTAACATCAGAAGCCACCATTTGATTTACTGTATTTTCATGTGAAAATTAACATAATTACTTTCCCTGAGTTTCTGTTCGATTTAATTCAGTATACATTTACTTAATTCCTAATACATGCTGGAGACAGTGCTAGGTATTATATAGAATAATTTCTTTCCCTCTAAGAGCATATATTTAAATTCCTATATGAAACTTTACCTAGAGATAAAACTAAATACATAAATACGTACAGAAAAATGGATTTCAGTAGACTACCTTTGTGCTAATACGCTCTATATACGTAGTTTTGCTCAAACGAAATTATCTGACAATTTTTTAAAATCCAGAAACGCAACTTTATAAACCTCCTCACCCTAAGTAGGCTGTATAAAGCGGTGTTTTAAGCAGACATTCATTGGGCTTTGATCTGCCTTTCTATTAAAATAGTTCCAAGATTTAGAACTTGTGTTTAAATTTATAGGCAGAAAATATAAAATATTTTCATATTAAAGACATAGACACCACGCTGGTTCTTCCCAAGCTATGTAACCTGTTACAGTACTTATTTGTAAAAATGATGGATAGGAACAGGAATTTCTAACCGTCATGAGATGTTTTGGAGGTTGAGTTTCTTACTTTGGAAAGAATGATACTAGCTGTGTATGTGGTGGTGGTGATGATGGCAGTGTGGGAGCCTGAGGGTTGTAGCCTGGTTATATTGCACCATAAAAGGTAGAAGTGAGTAAGAAGGTGATGATGGTCGATGGAGGGGTATAAATATGGCTTCCAGTGCTAGCTCTCACTGATAAATTTGTATGTGGCCCACCCACACAAAGTTATTGGGCCAGCCCTAGTTTATACCTGGAGCCCCATTTTCCAGAATCTGGCCTGCTGTTGCTTTGCATCTCAAGCTCGAAAGCTGCCCAGCACTTTGCTCAAAAAGAGCCATAGAATCTTTGAAGGTTTGTAATGTGGTTTGTAACATTGCTTCCCTTGAGGCCCTGGAGGAACCAGCACAGTGTAGATGTACGTGTCCTGGGCAGACCCTGCCATCAGGCAGCCAGAGGATTATGATGGCAACACTCCCCATGTGTGACATGCTTCCCAGGCTCATACATCCCTTTTTGTAACTTGGACAGCAGCCCAGGAGACATATGCTGGCAGGTAAGATAGTGGAGGTGACAGGAAACGAATACATCAGTCTCCGCCTGATGAATTATTTTGAGCAGAAAGGTTCTGTTTACTGTATTTGAAACCAGGTACCATTAATATTAGGCTGAACCATAAGAAACTGCCATTGTTGTAGGTCAAAGTGACAAAATATTGGCAGAATCCTCTGCTTTCACATAATACTACTGCTGTCTTCCATTTACCTGGGCATTCCCTAAGTACCAGGCATAAACAAAATGCTCATATAACATGTCATCTTCTCCCCCAGTTAGCTTGTGAGGTGAGCTCTGTTATCATCTCCATGTTGTAGGCAAGGAGATCTAGGAGGAGGAGGAGGACCAAGAAGGTCCCACCACCAGTCACTGACAAAGCCTCAGCTCACACTACGGCGTCTTTCAGAGCAAGCCCCTGTCATAATAATCAGCATGCTCGAAGTTTGGAATGGAATGGAGTCTTCCTGTAAAGGAAATGTCTTTTCCTTTGAGGAAACATCATCTTCCAGCATTACACCACAATGTTAACTAAGATCCATTGCCTCATTATTTATTCTTAAATACCTTTTTTTTTTCATTCAGCAAGTATTGAGCACCTACTCTGTGCCAAGCAGTGTTCTACAAAACTCTAGAGCAACACATTGTTTCTCATCTCTTTTTTCCTCATCTCTTAATTGACCCTGACTATAGGAGTGACCTCTCATTATATTTTTTTGCAAGGAAAAATACTTATCATAATTGTTGATTTTTAAATATTCACTTCATGGCTCATCAAAGGTTCTGAATCTCAATTGGTTATGGCTTTATTTTTAAATTAAAAAACATTTTTTATGTTTATTTTTGAGAGAGAGAGAGAGAGAGAGAGAGAGCGAGAGCACGCAAGCTGGGGAGGGGCCAAGAGAGAGGGAGACACAGAATCCAAAGGAGGCTCTAGGCTCTGAGCTGTCAGCACAGAGCCCGGTGTGGGGCTCAAACTCACAAACCACAAGATCGTGACCTGAGCCAAAGTTGGACCCTTAACCGACTGAGCACCCAGGCGCCCCATGGCTTTGTTTATTTTTAAAGCATATGTCTACTGCTTTGTCAAATCATTACTATGCAGATTTATTTTCTACATGAATTGCCAAAGAGTATAAACTTAGAATATCTTCAGAGATTTTTGTGACTTTAAATATTTTATGCAAATATTATATGTAAAAAATACGTAGTACGTTATTATATGTATATCCAAATGGCTATCAAATTGAGTTCTAGTAAGAAAAATGTGGTTGGCCTTAAACACGGCTCTAGGATATACTGCTTCTCAGGCTGCAGTAGTAAAGAACCACTTATTTATGCTCTGTCATTTATTAGTACTTTCGCAAAATGAATGAGCATTAATTACTAGAAACATGAAATGAAAAATGAAATAAAAAGGTCATATAAAATGCAAGCATAATTATTGAGCTTGCTATATATAGATTCAATAGACATAAAAATACTGTTAAATTGCAATACAGGCGTCCAAAACACATACCACATTTTGAGTAGCACTATTCCGTAATGTCCAGGAAACCTCCCCTCCACTTCTGTTAAGACTCCTGTCACTGTTTTGCTTGTACCAAGAGACAGGTTTATGTCCCAGACCTTCCCTGTTGTACTCTTTTCAGTTCCTTGGAGGCAGCAGAATTGCCATCTCCTTTGATTCTTAGCCTCCCGTGATATTTTTCACATGCTTCACAAATCCATTGAATTATTCAATGAATATCAGAAAATCTGCCCCCATTACCCCCAAATTAATGAGTTTTGTGTTTTGTTTTTGTTGATTGGTGAGA